CGCGGAAATATACGTACATTTCCAATTTACTGTAAAGTTACACCGATGATGAATGAATAAGCAGGGATAGAAGTTTACGGTGTCTTCTTTCACAAGTCACCATGAAGGTTGGTGAATTGCTATGTGTACGCGACACCCGTCAAGGAATAATTTTAACTCAAGCACATTATAAAATGCGTTATCCGGGTATCTCAGTGCATCTCCAAGACCAAGTTTAGCATACAATACATAAGCAGAGCTCATCATGCAAAATCCCTAACTCTACTGAATGGCAACAAAAGTGTCTCAACAACAACTTGAGGATTACCCCGAACTTGTTTTTCCGAACCGGATACACGGTAGAGACCGACGGTATGCATGCCGCGAGCAAGTACTTCAGTGACACAGCGAATCACCAGAGCTGGTATCCGAGGGTATTGATCCTTTGGACACAACTCAGCTAGATTCAGGTTTCGTGCTCCAAACCGATGTGTCAAAGTTGGGCTAGAAGGAGTCGGGGGATTACCACGCGAGTATGGCGTTACAGGCATGTTTGCAGCGCGCTTGGGTGAGGTTGCCGGGGTACGTCCATTAAATGAGGACAAAGGAGTTCGTGGTGTATTCGGAGGGATGCACGTTTGTATTAACTAAAATAGTGGATTCAAAAGGCAAACAAATCAAAGGTAGGTCACCACACATTGTTCACCATGATAACTCAACTGAAAAAAACAAAATAAAAACATACCTGTGATTTGCAGTCGGGATGGACAACTAATCGACAGACAACACATCTCAGTGCGGACCTTCCGAAAGTGATACGCCGACCACAATAACCGCACAACTCCATACGAAGAACCGGTTTGGAAGTGAAACTGTGGGGCCGATTGAGGCGACTGAATGAGGCAGATTGCTGCAGTAAAAAGGAGAACACATGCTCGAGCGATTTAAAAGCCAAAGCACAATTATTGGCGCACACTACTAAGGGTAAAAATGATCCAGAGAGAAACAAAACAAAATCGAAGTCGGAACTAAGCTATCCTTAGTAATTAGCGCTGTCGTACGATCGTGCGCCGATAGCTTTAAATGATCAGCTGTCACCTGATCAACGGCCAGTATTCGTTTCAACTTGTTTCCAATTGTATACGTCAAACAAAAGAGGCCCGCCAATCATGATAAAAATTCACCATGTTGCTCAGTCCAGTCAGATCATTGAATAATCCCCAACAATCCAAAGCAACGGGAAACGGCCGACTCAAATCATCTTAACACAAAATGCCATAATCCTCTACACAGTGGTCCCTTGATTAATAATTTATCACGGGGGACGATTTAAGTGCCCTTGGCCGTGAGGTCCTTCTGCGAGGGAGACAAATTCGACTGACCCAAACAAGAAACAGTAACATGTGGCTTTGTTTCAACTGACAACATAAATACTGAAACCGAAGATGTAATAAGAGATTTTTCCTATGAAGTTGACCCCTAAGAAGGACCATTTTGAGTTTTCCAAGATTAACAGTGAAATCAGTACTTTCGGGTCCATCAACAGAAAATGACTGGGAGGCAGCATTAGTTGACGACAAATAAGGGGATATCTACCTTCAAAGAACAAACCGCCACATGTGTTGAAATCCCCAACCTGAGAGGCGGGAAGACAGACATCCAGCTAACGGTCAATAAGTCATGAGGCTCCGCGAGTGTCATCACCATCCAGGACAGGAACATAACAGGACGTTGATGCTCCGCTGCCGTACAGCCATGTTAGTTCAAATGAATGAACCGTCATAATAGAAGTAAAACTGGTACAGGGAGAGGAACCTAGGGTTAGTCCACAAACATCCGAGGTGCCTACACCAATAATCATCCCGAAAATCTGGACAGAGGCTGACGGCATAGACGCCACTGACAAGAAAAAAGGTGGATTCAACAGCCAAGCACACGGAGGAGAACGTGGGTGCCCATCCTGGAAGGTGAACAGCACTAACATCCAGACTTCACGTAACATCTTTCACTCTGTCCTACCACGCCATAATCTGTTAAACTCCAGGCTTCGCCACTGCGAGCTAAATACGTAAAACAACACCCTTCTCGGCAGGTGACATGCGCGACACATGGCGCAGCCGCCTCCGCCTACAAAGGTAGATGCAGATCTGAGTGAAATAGCTTACACTTCAGTAAAGACCTGTTTTCTGATCAGCTCAATTCTAATTTGCTTATCCCAGTCAATCACAGCTGCGCTTTTGAGATATCGGTAGTCAAAGAACCTCCACCCGATGGCTTTAAAGAGGATGAAAACCGTCTAGTGCTAGTGCCTTGTCACGTTTTTCGTGTTTCGACCCTCTACACCTCATCTGCTGAACACACTGTCTCGAACGGATGATACAGGCGGCCAAATCTACTGTTATTCATTGTTTGGCTGATCTTCCTAATCAGCGTTTTTGCGAACGAATAACTGAGCTGCCTTTTTCAGTCATTGTTTCAATGGTAGTGGCTGTGGCCAGTCGGTCGTATTAAGGGGTATATAGCACGAATATTTTCGGTGGCAAAAGGCTTCTTCATCCACTGGGCTTCCACTGTCCACAGAAGATCTCGGTCTATCCTTAGACTCTTAACTAGTTGGCGTTTCATGGGCTTGTGTGCGTCAAGATATTCGACGTCTGTCGGTATGGATATCATAGCATCATTCAGAACTAGCAAACTTGATATCCAGTGGTCATTTGATGGTATCGGACAAGTCTAACAGACGGCTTTGAATGCCACTGGTAGAGCTCCTTTCACACGTCAGATTTCACCTACGTAGTCGTTACTAGTAATGTTTGGTATCTTTGCTATCACGATATAGTGTTGATGCTTTTGACAGTCCGCTTCACCCCAGAACTTCGTAGATTCACCATCTCCGGTGAGCTACCATAGCCTGACAATACCCGTTAAGCCGATGAAAATTCTGCATATATAATAATAGTCAAGAACACCCGGGTTGGGTATGGCCTACCCGTGATAGGAGCTATGTAATGACTTTCAAAGCTGCTTGTCGAAATTCTCCAGCGCGAACAAAGGACCCTAAATAATTACAAAGTACCAGTGCCGACAGGCAGTGGCTAAAATTACACAGATCCCTCAAACAATAAACAGTGAAGAATCAAAGGAAAGAACTAGAACTTTGCTGGATAGAGGACGCTCAGGAAGTAAGAACTTGCGCTATCAAAAGTACCTTCCATCACCCAGTTTGACTGTCAACAAAGGAGACCGCCATCAGGAAAAACGAAAAGACAGTCCGCATATTTGGCCAAACGCTTCAGAAACAATCCTGTTCAGAGATGAGTCTGAATTAGAAGTCACCTTACTTCATCTGACCTGCTCTTGTGCCCTCGAGTGTTCAGCCACCTATGCTGTCAAAACTAAGTAGGCTACAACGAGCATTTGGAAGAAAGGCTGGCAACAAAAGATCATCTCAAATGCCATAAGTATAAGACAACAGATGGAGTCAACAAAAAACTAACCGGTGTGGTGGCGTTGTTTGTGTTCTGTTGCCGGCCGATACGAGACCTAAAATGAAAGTTGGAGGAGTCTGAATCCTCTCCCGTCACCGTAGAGGGTAGGTGATGCGCCGTATGTGGTATGGTCAGAAGACTACGCTTCATCTCTACGCCGTAGTAGGAATTGTCCGAATCGTCAGACCGCCGCTTGTGCCCAGCTGGTGGTGACTGTAGAAGTGAAAAAGATGTGAAACTAGTCAAAGCCACTTTAGGAGGACCCAACCACATAAGTTCAGAACTAAACTATAGACTTACTTTACTGTAACCATGTTGACTGTGTTCCGTTGACAGGTCGGGCGCAACAATCTTTGGAGCAGATGAAGCTCGCAATTTGCTGAGTCTAGCGGAACGACGCAGCGGTCCTCGAACCATACCCATTGCATCCCCCGCTGAGCTCGCACGTCTGGATTTTGATGTTCGGCTTGAAAACAAAACCATTGCAACATACCAATTATTAAGAAAGTAAACCACTGAAACAAGTATATTAGATGGAAAAGCCCGTAATTCACCATCGTTAAACTTATCATGTACCAGGCCAGCTTGGGATGATCCGTCCTATCCCCCCTGGACCGAACAAGAATCGCGCAATTTCGATTATCATCATCGACAGCATAACTACTGTGCAAATTGAGGAATGCATGAAGGCTGCGATACTGCTAGGTCGCTCAGGCCTACACAGGACTAATGAAAATTCTGAAATTGCGTTCAAATCACAG